TACGACTGAATATGGCCCTTGTTACAATCTATATCAAAACTGTAGATATCCAGTCATGTCTGTTCCATACAATTCTCTACAGGAATCTCTACATTTTTATTAAAGTGTTGCAAATTATTATTCCATATACAGTTTTCTTTAATGTAGACATTAATTAATCATCAATATACATTAAATCTTCCATAATAACAATCAGGAAGTGCAAATTACATCATTTCACATGAAAATGCAGAGGAAAAAAAATCTCCCTATGATATTTATTTATTTATTTATTTGTATTTGTTATAGCTGCCCAGCAATAATAGACTCTGGGTATCATACAAAACCAAAAAATCCATAAAACCCATACGTACTATAGCCCTAATTTTGTGAATGTAATATTCTTTTAAGAAAATAGAAAATGTGGGCGTTTCCAAACCATCCAACATAACAAAAGAAGATATTTTTATGTTTCTATATGATTCTGACAATAGCTCAGTATAGATTTTACATATAGGCATATATCTTAAGAACTTTGCTGAAACAGAGAAATATGACAAAGTAAATCATTATTAGACTTATTTGTACCAATAACATTTTTACTGATTCTGTTTGCCCCTCTATCTGCTTTTAGGTTTTGGCTCTTTCTACTTACCTGGATTCTGTGGTACATGATCCGTAGCATATCCTCATATTCCCACCTTGCTTTTGGTTTCCAGCAGCTCTTCTGCAGCTGAGCTAATTAGCTTCAGGTTCAGGATAGCTCCAGCATAAATACTAAGAAGACATTTCGCAGTGTTAAGATTGAATCTGAGGGACACACAGCTTACCACGTATGAGAATTCACATACAATCCACCCTCCTTAGCTCTTTCCCCACCCTTCTGCAGTTAAGATGCCATAGCATCTTACCAATCATTTCACTATGCTTCTTAAACTTAAAAATGAGTTGTGCTTTCTTTCTCTCTTTCTCTGCAAAATCAATCACTACGACACCCATGCAAGGTTGGGGGATAAAATGGTAGTTGGTTCCAGTTGTACAATTGGTTGGCTGGAGATACAGACAAAAATAGTAACATAGCATAAATAAAATGAAAATGTGAAAATAGTACAATAAAAAGCCAAACATTTAATAAAGTGGATAACAAATCATATTCAAACAGCAGTAAAAACCTGTAGATATTACCATTATTAAACTGAGAACCCTTGCAATTAAGCAAAAAAATGGCAACCCGTTTACATATTCCTATAGACTGATCTGCTAGCAAGAACAAAATATTTTCAAACCAGTGTAATATAAGATGCAGTGCAGCAAAATATGTGATCCTATCTCAGTCACCCCATTGAAACAAAGATACAGGCAGTTTGATGTGAAATATATTACTAAATCTCCCTTCTAGAATCATGGACATTAAGTCTAGTCAATAAGAATTTGGTCCATATGATATGGAGAAGTCACTGGTGAAATAATTAGGTAAAGTGAAAGAACGGTCACACCCATTTCTCTGTCAGCTGAAAGACTTGCTGCTTTGTTTCTGAAGTGACTTTAAGTCTCAATATCATAACGATTTGGGGTCAGAAACCACTGGTTTCTTGGCCTTTCTTCCAAGAAGCAGCAAATTTATCAACAAAACTACTTAGCATCTACATGAAGTCATTGGAGGGAGTCATCTGTCAGCACAGAGTTAGGGGTCATCAGTATGTGGATGATATTTAATATCTCAACTCCAGGCCACACTGGAGATGCAGGTGAGGTTCTTTTCTGAGGCTGTTAGGGTCTGGGTAGGGAAAAGCAGACTTAGACTTAATGCCATCAAGATGGAGTAACTGTGAGTTATACAGTATACCATCCAATGCCAGTGTTGTTCCATCTTTAGTTCTAGATGGGATTATCCCTTCCCACTACTACTCCCGTAATGAACTGGTTTTGAACTCATTATTCCTGCTTAACAAGCAGATCACTACTGTCGCACAGCTTTATCTTTTGTGCCCAAACCATTACTGGACTGGGAGACTCTTCTCATAGTCATTCATACTTTGGTAACTTCTTGATTGGATTATTGCAATATATTCTACATGGAACTGGCCATGAGGCCACTTAGAAGATAAAGCTGATCCACAACGCAGCTGCTCGAGTAGTTATGGATATACTTGGGTTGCCAGTATATCCATATGAGTACTTTGAGAGAGTTGCCTAGTTAATAGCTGACTTCCAGGTACAAGTCTAGGTGCTGATTGTCATGTTTAAAGCTCTACATGGATCAGGACCTGGGTATCAGTGAGACTGCCTGCTTCTATATCATCTGCCCATCTGTTAAGATTTAGAAGGGAAAGGTTCCTTCAGATCTATACCAACAGGGAGTGTCCCAAGCAACAACCACGAAGGCAGACCTTCTCTATTACCAGTCATCAAAATATTAAAAATAATAAACGTATAGTAATATGTGTACTTCTTTATTAATCCATTAAATCAATAACATGACAAGCTTAATTTCAGTTAGAGGTTAGTGAAAATAAAGTGGTAATTCTTTTCTAATCCAAGTTCAAAGAGCTCCTGAAATCTACCCATAGACCTCAGGTTAAGAACCCTTCTCTTATGCCTTCCTACCTCAAATAGCTGCATTACTGGTAAAAAGGAAGTTGGAAAAGGCTTTATTTGCCAACGATGAATGGAGAAGCTTACTGCTATACAAAACTTGAATGATGAAATTAATATAGAAGTTAAAGGAAACCTGGTAGAACAGTATTCTAAGTATGCATCCTTGTCTAACTCCTTTTCAAATAAATATTGAAAAAGACTTCAAAAGATAACCCTTCTAACCTGCATTTAGGTGTTTTATGCAGCAACATAATTAACTGAAAAAAAGGCTGATCTGTAGTTGTTTCTGTCAGTTTAACCATAGGTTGACTTTGGTTACTGAATCTACGGCTGCCTTCAAATTGTTGAAGGCAGTATAAAGCATTTCATATGATTGAATAGAATACTGTTCTGCCAAGTACTGAGACACAATGTATTGTCAAACATTAACAAATCAGTTCTAAAGCCAGTTTAGTCCTCAGCCAACATCTTACCTTGAATAAAACTAATGGGATCAGAGTTAGCAAACTGATGAGGAAAAAGATCTTGAAGTAAATATCAAAGTTCAAAGAAAGTGTCAACACAGTGTTCATCTGCTGTGAAAAAAGGCCAATAGCATATTAGGAATAATAAGAAACAGTATTGCAAATAAGGACACCAATATTTTAATGCCCTTATATAAATAAATGGTGTGACTACATCTGGAATATTGTGTGCAGTTCTGGTAGCCATACCTCAAAAGGACATAGTGGAGCTAGAGAAGGTCCTGAGAAGGCAAATAAGGTGATCAAGGGGCTGGAGCAGTTTCCCTATGAGGAAAGGTTGCAACACTTGGGGCCTTTTCGTCTAGAAAGGAGGCCAACAAGAGGGGATATGATTGAGGTGTACGAAATTATGCATGCTGTGAATAAAGTGGATAAAGAGAAGCTATTTTCCCTTTCCCAAAATACTCAAACCAGAGGTCATCCAGTGAAATTGAATACTGGAAGAATCAGGACAGAAAAAGGGATTTATTTATTTTTTTTACACAATGCATAGTTCAACTTTGGAATTCATTATCACATGATGTGCAGCTAGCTACCAAATTGGCTGGCTTCACAAAAAGTTTGGACCAATACATGGAAGCCATGAAGATTAATGGCTATTAGCCTTGATGATGGTTTGACTGCCTCTGAAGGCCATCTGCTGGGAGACAAGTGGGCTTCTTTGTGCAGTTGGTTAACCATTGTGAGAACTAGCCCATGCTGGACTAGATGGGCCAGGGTTCTGATCCATTATGGCATTGATCATGTTGTTATGTTCATAGTCACTCAATACATTTCCCATCTGGATGCCTAGTCCAGTTTCCTAATAATACTTGAATAATTGGCCAAAAATTAGATGAAATATTTTTATCAACTTTTTTGAAGATTGGGATTCTTACAGAATGATACTATTCCTTTGGCATCTGAAAGGAGCAGACAGTTTGAGTAACAAGAGAGTAAGCAGTCAGCTTAAGTAACAAGCGAGGACAATACTGAGACCCACCCATCATAATTTATAAAACCACCCACTGTAGTTTATGAAACCACCCATTGTGGCTTTTCCTTTCTTAAAACGGGCCTTTTGGCTAAGATTAAATAATGAGTTTATTCAAAGGGTAGCATAAGAATGCTTCTGAGAGAAGTAGGATATGAATCTGGTGAATCTGATACCTGGATGAATTTATTTAATCACAATATAGAAGCCTTTGCTTATCAATTACATCTTCCTCTTCTATTTGTACTTCCATGAACTGATTTACAGAATACAGAAGGATCGATTCCAGGGATATGAATGCATGAGAGAAAAGATATTGGTGACAGAATAGGTCCTACCTATGGGAGAGTATCTATTTAGATATGCATGGAGCTAAATTTCAGCACGGCTGCTTTGGATTTCTTTCCTTCTGAGGCATATACATGGTAAAAGACCAAAACTTACAAGGGCAATCTTGGCAGAAATGTTTGCTGCCCATTCAGATGCATCATGTCTTCTGTCTATACAAACACGTAAGACCAGAAAAGATATTGAGGTAACTGCACTAAGAATTCAAGAGACGCAGCTGCCAATTAGCTACATATTCAAAAAAATGTAAGGACATAAGAATAGATTTCTTGGATCAGGTTTAGCACTTTGTTTCTCACAGGCCAAATCCCTGTCCCACCATTGTTCTCTGGTGTTCCCGCTGGTATTTGGAAGTGTGCTGTCTTCAACCCAGAGATAACATCAAGTTTCAAGAATCATAGCCCTTCATAAACTTGCCATCCATAAATGTATTCAATCCCATTTGTTTACTTAATTTACATGCCACCCAAAGTATACGATTCCTGCCAGTTTCCAATAAAAAATTACACCTTAAAGCTATCCAAGTTAGGGGGCCATCACTACATCTCATGATGAATTACCTAAATTATTTACTGTGTAATGAAGTATGCTCTTTTCTCTGTTCCAAATATCCTTCCAGTCACCTTTACTGAATGATTTCTGGTCCTAGTGTTTTGAGAGGGAGAGAAAGAATTCTCCTTTTCTATTTTCTTCATAGGATGCATGATTTCATTGAGCTCAACCCCTCAGGAACCCTTTTTTAAAGCTGAAGAGTCCCAAACATCCTACCCTTTTCTTGTAAAGCAGCTGTTGGATCCTGTCATAATTATGGTTTCAGTATTATATCCTTTTTGATATAGTGACCAGAACTATACAGAGTTTTCCAGATGCAATGATATGTTCATATAAAGGCATTAAAAACAGATCATTAACAAGTGATTCCTCTCATAATAAATACATTGAACACTGTCTATCCAAGGTTTCTTTTTTCCAATACAGCTGGAATAAAGCATAGAGGGGTGTGTGTGTGTGTGTGTGTGTGTATGTGTGTGTCTGTCTGTCTGTCTATCTGTCTATCTATCTATCTATCTATCTATCTATCTATCTATCTATCTATCTATCTATCTCTGTGTATATGTTTCTCTTTCTGTATGTATACATTTGTTTATGGATTTCCCCTCTGGTTTGTTTCAACTGGAAGTAGTCATCATGCTGAATTTATTGAATGTGTTCATCATAAAAGAAATGATGAATCAGCATTTTGTAGCCATAACGTTTTGAGGGATGAGCCACTAGGCAGATTGGCAAGTAAACTGTCGTTAACAACATCTGTGTATACCTTCCATTTTTTCTCCATGAATAAAGCTATTTTTACCCACATAGACAGATATGTCAGTTTGGAACAGAATGGTTGGCCCAAGAGATCCATTTCCTTAATGTCTAGGAGTTTTCAGTCAACAATTTAGCAATTAGAATTGTTAATAATATATTACATTTCTCTGCACTTTCATATGAAATTCATATATAATAACATTATAAGGAAAATTTATTATTATGCATATAAATATTCCATAACCATTGCCATGTCACATCATAAGTTTGCACTTATTGCTAGTTGTATTATTTATTTTGTCATTTGATTAAAACTGTCAACACTTAATGTAACATAATAATAATAACCTATACATCTAATCATGATAAATGCTACAGTACACAAAAACATTCTTTATATATACAGAAGTTGTTATAAAAATCTGTTTTTTTCTTTTTTTGCTCTTGATACACTTCTTTATAATAACAATGAGGTAACTCTATGCATTTTATCTCCTTTAACAGAAACAATCCTGACTCCAAAGATGTATCTGAGTTCTCTTCCTTTCTTCTTTCTCTTGATCAGCAGCATCTTCTGTCAATATGACTATGATTTTGACCCAGATTTTGGTTTTCATTTTCCAATGTTTGAGCTATCATCTGCAGTCTGTGCACCAGAATGTAATTGCCCTATAACCTATCCTACAGCCATGTATTGTGACGATCTTAAACTGAAGAATTTACCCATTATTCCTTCCGGAATCAAATACCTGTATCTCCGCAATAATCTGCTTGAAGGCATAGAAGATAATGCTTTTGAGAATGTGACCGATCTGGAGTGGCTAATCCTAGATAATAACCAACTGAAAAATTCAAATATTAAAGGCAAAGTCTTTTCCAAATTAAAGAATTTAAAAAAGCTGCACATAAATCACAACAACTTAACTGAAGTTGTTGGGCCACTTCCTAATACTCTGGATGACCTGCAACTCACTCACAATAAGATTTCAAAAATCAACCCTAATACACTTGAGGGACTAGTGAATCTGACTGTCATTCACCTACAGCACAATGACCTGTCTGAAGATACACTTTCTGGAGTTTTTAAAGGCTTAAAATCACTCTTGTATCTTGACTTGAGCTTTAATAAACTGACTAAACTGCCTTCAGGACTGCCTCATAACTTACTGATGCTGTATTTCGATAATAATCAGATTAACAAGGTTCCTAATGAGTATTTCCAGGGTTTAAAAGCACTGCAGTATTTACGTCTCTCCCACAATAAGCTGACAGATTCTGGAATACCAAGCAATGTTTTCAATATCTCTACACTTGTGGAGCTGGATCTCTCCTATAATGAGCTAAAGAGCATTCCGACAGTCAATGAGCACCTTGAAAACTACTACCTCCAAGTCAACCAAATTAACAGTGAGTAATATTTCCGTTTAAAAAAAAAAAAAACTAGAAAGGAGTCGTTAATAGTTAAATGAGATGACCAATGTAGAACTCTCCAAGTTTTTTTCCCCAGTCTTTATGTTCATTCTGTCTTTTTTTTTAAAAAAAACAGCTATTAAAATAAAAACCTGCAATTGTTTCAAAGAATAATTGGTAATCATACATACCCTAGCTAGCGACAGCAGAAGTCCATAGATCCTGCTTTCACTTCATAATGCCTTCCTCTTCTGGAAGTAATAATTTCAAGCCATTTCTGGATTCTGACTCATAATAAATCATGTTGATGATAATGGTCCTAGTTATGATGGCCCATCAAAACAGTCTGGTCAGTTTTTTAAAAAACCCAACATTTATTTTTACTGCCAAACAAATCCATACATTTTCTATAATCTGCTATGTAATGCATGTTACTCATTGAGCATGACTTGCTCAACTTGGCTTCTGTGCCACTTATTATAGTAACGTTTTAATTTTTTTTTAAAAACCAACTCTTTATTATACTTTACTGCTATACTTCTCACAATAATAGTAATAATAATAATAAAATAAAATAATAATCTGGTAATAAATATCACCAAAGCTGTAATTACTATGCATTTTGATCGGATCAGCATATGATGATAATCAAAATAAAGCTTTATTTGAAAATACTTGAAAACAAATTAGGGAACTAGTATAGATATTAACTATACTACATTCTGTTACTTTCAACAGGAGATTAAACAAATGCACTAAATTCTAGTTAGTGTAATTCCTTCAATATTATTCCAGTGGGGGGAAAAAAATAAAGCATAGCATGGGAAGTCTTATACATTTAATAGTTTGTTATTTCCATAATCAAACAAGCATACAGTACAGAGAAAGTGAGAAAAAAAGTTCACTTGAAGAACCAATGAAGGGAATAGCAATAGTTGTCCTGCATGCTTACCTGAGAATACGTCATAATAACATTCCAAACACCAAAACCAAAAACAGGCAAGACAATAGATCCTGATACATATTTTTACTATTTTATTCTGTAATATTAATAATAGATATATACAATTTAGAAAACTTTTTCTGAGTTTCACTTAGAAATTTTGCTGTCGGGACATAACAAATATTTTGGCCATCGTACGATGGTTTATTTGCAGAATGAGAACACTCTCTGGAGACATCCAAAAGGAAGGGTGTAAAAATCACATGACATAAAGACCCATGAAAAAGTAGATGAACATGATAGGCATGTGTCCTAGCTAAACTATGCCAAGTTTGACATGTTGTAGTATAGTATAGACAAGTAAAGCTTGTATTAACATCTTCATACTGTACCAGTATTGTTGCATCTGTTCATCTCATGGCTTAAAACTGAAAAGCTCTGAGATGTATTTTTGTATTTTAATTTTTTTATATCAAAATTTTAAGCATAATGTCTGACATATGGGTAATACACACACACACACACACACATACACACACACGCACTAATAGGAAACAGAATTTAACTAGCTGTGATACCTAAAATCTGCTAGAACTCCTAGTATGAGTGAAATTTGTAAATGTCCTAACCTGAATGTGAAAGTGATGTTGTATTACTAATATTGTGTTATTTACATTACAGAATTTCCAGTGAACAGCTTTTGTAAGGTTGTCGGGATACTAACCTATTCCAGGGTCAGACATCTGCGTCTGGATGGAAATAATCTCACAAGAGCTGATCTTCCACAAGAAATGTACAACTGTCTCCGAGTGGCTACTGAAATTTCTCTGGAATGAGTTGTACAACCCTTTATTCAGAGTCTTTTGATCATCATGCTTGCACCATAGTAACGCTTTAGAACTAAAATGTCATCTGGCATAAGATCTTTTGTGTTTGTTAATAAACAGCATGACTGTGTGGCTATTTTTAATGTGTATATTCTAGAATGCCTGTGATGCAGAATTTTTTTGTAAAGCTAGGAAGTCCCATAGATTGTGGACAAAAATTGTTCTCATGTTTATTTCTTAGACTGTTTTATTAACATAGCTAAATACAGCCTGAGTTTGAAAAGGTTTTTAAAAAGCACTGGTGTATACTCACAATAAACACATACCACACTCCTTGTGGGTATGAACTTCTACTCAGGTTTGCAAAAGTCAGGCATATTCTAATCAAGATAGAATATTTAGTATTTAGGGCTGGACCAGATCTGTACAGTAGTTCACATATTGAAATAAAATCTCTCCTGCTTTATACCTTTGATTCACTTCTATGATACAGAAACAGTAATTCAGTATAGCTATATAAGCTCTTTACATATAAAGTAAAATAAAATTTAAAATTCCAATCAGCATATTTTATGTGAAGAATTGAGAAAACAGCAACATTTTCAGGTTTTTATTTTGTTCATGCATTTTACTTGGTTCAGTGACAATGTTCTAGTGAGGTCAATTAAAAGTTTTAAAGGAATGGTTATTTTACAGTAAAACTTAAAAATCATTTGTTATTCTCTTATTTCTGCATGCTATATTAAATGACTTTAGAAAATAAAAACAGCAAATTAAAAATATTGAGTGTATATTATTGTGAAAATAGACAATTTTTTTTAAAATGTACATTGAAACAAACTAATTTTTTTTAAAAAAATACTTTGCTGAATATAAGGTTACATTCCCATTAAATAAATTGTTTTATGTTTTCTAGTTTTTAAAAGTTCTTCAAACAAAACTTTTTAATGATCACTATCTCAGGCTTTGAATTCTGCTATGTACTGGAGAATGGCTATGGATTAAAGGATGTAATTTGCAAATTACCGTCATAAAAATCCCTGAAATCAATAAGATGCAGATTACAGACAATATGGAAAATGTTTATGGCATAATTTGCACTGCTGAACTGTATAACAGAAACATATTTTACTGCAGCACAAATTTAATTTTGTACTGGGCAAAGCAGTGGAGATGGTCTGTGTTACGAAAACAGTAAGGTCTCAGTAACTGAAAAATGAGTTGACATCTCCAGGTAAGGTTGAAAAATAGCTCCTGAAATTCTTGAATAATCACTAGAGAGACACATGGTGTAGGCATTTTTTTATAAGAACTCTAATCTCAACCTTGCCATAGTGTTTTTCACACATCACACAATTTAGAAAACCCTTTTTTCCTGAGGTTTGCACATTGCTTGTAATCATCAATAGAGGAAACTCATGAGCTACCAGTCCAGCGGATGTTTTCAGCTGTTTCTTTTTGCCTTAACTTATGGTCAAACCCTACATGTGAATGCAGGCAATAAGTGACTATGGAAGATTAAATATTCAGTGCTTTTCCTATCACATCACTTGAAGCACAAGCAGTAAAAGGTACCATGGGAATTTGTTTCTTAAAGCACCCTCAATAAAGCTTTGCAAAATGAGAGGCTATGAAGAGAGATAATTTAAAAAAAATGTCAAGTCATGATTAGGGTAATAACTTGTTCCTGGATTCGGAAAGATGGAAGATTTAAACTGTAGCAAGCAACGCATCTGTTTTCCTGTGTGTTAGTTTCTAGAATTAGAAAGGTGTTCCAGTTAAAATAAATAGCTGAAGTTCTTGTGCATAGCCTGGATATACTACAATGTTTTTCAAACTTGGCAACTTTATGATGCCTGGACTTCAACTCCCAGAATTCCCCAGCCAGCATGTTGATGTCCACACATCTTAAAGTTGCTAAGTTTGAAAACTGCTGATATACTAGATATTGTACTCTGGCTTCTGTCACAAATCCTTTTCATTTTACCCCAGCTTGTGTTTTATTCTGGCTTTACATGTGTATCTGAATGTATGAATGTGTCCCCTTAGTCTGAGATTTCCAGAGGGATTCAGCTCTGCTGTTGATTTTCAAATTCAATTTTAGTGTAAATCTTTCTGGGATAAGTTTTATAGACAGAATCTCCATCTAAAAACTCTTTATGTAAGTTCACATGTTTATAGCCAATAAGCAAACTGAAATCATTCCAAAAGAATCAGGAGGACAGAGAGGGAAATACATATGCATAGACTACTTTTGGAAGAAACTAAATTTATCTGGATCTTGTTATAATTTCATTTGACTTCAACAGGAGCCAAGCCACATCATCACAAAATGTTGCCTTTTGACTGTTAAAATTTCTAAGAAAGTCAGTAAACCACTATACAAAATACCAGACAACCAAGGTATTGTTTTTCCTTCTAAAGGTGGTTTTTAATTCATGTTTTGAAACAAAGATAGCCCATCCTTTTTCTGCATACTTATGTATCAAGAGAAGAATGAATTTAGAAAAGAAAAATTCAGATAAACTGGATGTCTTGAAATTCTATTCACACTTCCAAACTGCTAGGATTGGTTATATTTTCTGTTACTGTATTTAAAACATATCTATTTTTTTTATTTATTTATATATCAAATTTGTCATCACCCATCTTGTTGAAACTGGGCAGTTTACAAAGTGGTTAAAATCAATTAAGATTACAATATGCAATCATCTTAAATAAATAGAAAATAAATAGATGTTAAAAAGTTCACATATTGAAATAAAATC